CACACACTTCCTATCATCACGTTATACAACAGATCCCACTTGATAAAAAGCATCCATGAAAGAAACCTAAATGAAAGAGACATCAGCAAGTATTGTGGGCCCAATTGGCAAAATAAAGCTTACATCTATATTGGTTTGAATCATGTTTAAGACAACAGGCCTTCAACCTGCGGTAGATAAACAATGGCTAAAATTTATATGTATATATGTGTGTGTGTGTTTGTGTGTTTATCACACATACACACACACAATAGATGTAAGATTATAAATTTTTGAAGCCCACCCCGACTCATACTGAGTTTTTGTAATCAAGGTACCTTTCGCAATTTGTGTTTTTATATTTTGTTTAATCTCAGCATTGAACATTGACATGTAGGGCATTACATAGAAAACACAACAATTGCAACTTAATTGAAACAGGGATTGCTCTAAATGCTTTTATTTTAAACTAAATGTAGAAATTTCACGAAAGTTTCTTCCTGCTCCCTTTGTCATCAATAAATTGCTTTCATGAGTTGCATCACAGCGTTGGAAGAAACTTAGCTTGTCTTGGCCAACTCCTTATTCAGTGCAGGGTTCCACTACTATAAATAAATAAATGATAAAGTGTATAAAATTTTAGTTTGGAACACTGGAATACATATAGGGACATCCCTCCATGAGAGCCTGTCTGATGTAGTGCTTAATGTATTGGATTAGGATTAGGACCAGAGGCATCCAGGTTCTAGTCTACTCTCAGCTGTAGGAGGTTGTTGTGTGACTTAGAGCCCTCATTCTCTCCCAGACCACTCTATTTTACAGAGTTATGGTGGAGCCTTGCACTGTTATTGTAAACACATACCAGATGAAAATACTGAGCATTGCAACATTCCCAAACGGAATGTCCTTCAGATCTGTTGGATCACAAGTTCCTTTATTTACAACCAGGAAATTACCAATTACTAGAAAGTACTAAGTGGAGGAAGGTTAGGAGAGTCAGCCATTAGATCAAAGTCAATTTCTAAAACAGGAATTCAGAAATGCATCCTGTGCTAATTTGCATTAGGATTTTAATTCTACTGCTTTCAGCAGCCAGGATTTGGACTATTCTTTTTTTATGCCTGAGGCCCTTTCTGGCAACCATTTCACCACTTGAGGGTCCAGAGAGCATTGTGTGAAATAGCAATTAGAGATGAGGGAATCTTCAACTGATAAGTCCTCTCATATGGCCTTCCGGTTGTGTTCTTGTTTCCCTCACAAACATGGTAGTTGGACTTCAAGAAACAGACTGCTTGAAGGCAAGGCCAAAAGGGGACAATTGTATGGAGAGAGAGGTAGACATAGAAAGAAAGATAGGTGGGCATGTATGGATATTTGCGTAAGTAATCTGCTGCAGCTTTGCATTTTTCTCAATGAAGAAAAATGATGGAAGCAGTATTGTGCAGCAAACAGCAACTTTGAGGCATGTGTATATTTAATCACATTGCAAATACCAAAGGATGGAGCTTGTCTTGCAATAGCACGATGCTCTGAATCTGACTGAAGGTATGAATGGAATAGGTGGGTGACAAATAGAAAAACTGTGCTCACTTCACATACCCTGAACCTCAAACCAGCCAATAATAATTTAGCTCAATACATTGTGTAAATCTAAGATGATTGGATAAACATCGAACAAAAACGGTGGTAGCTTTGGTTTAGATATTACTGGCTTTTGACTCCTCTTAGGATTTCCTTTAGTTTCTCTAGCTGTGTTGTAATTCCTTTTCCTATTTTATTTTTGTCATAATGGCTGGGTTTTTATAGCATAATATATTAAATTAAAATGAGATGTGGGTGATTTGTATTCAGCCTGATAGGGGACCAAGCAATTGAATCTGCCATCATTTTAAAGCATAATATGCTTTGTTTATTTGTTTGGCTATTCAATACCTGTGTTTTGTTAATGTGTTAACAGTGGATATGACACTATCACCAGAATCTCTTATCAGCCATAATAATTTTGTTAATACTCTGATGTTAAATTGTGTCTAGAGTATTTAATTTGCTGGCAGTAATAAATATTTATCACAATTTCTCAGTCTAATGAGCCTATATCCTTTGATACAGTTGAGATGGACTATAATTTGAGTTAATGCAATGTCTTCAATGTGGTTGGTCTTGTAGGTATCTGGACTAACATTTTCAGTCCAAATCTCCTGGATTGTTTGTATTGGACCACATCAACAGAAGAATTCTGGAAACGATGGGTGAAAGACATGTCAGCAAAGCGTAAGAATTCCAATACTATTTTAGTCTTTGCTTTGCCAGAGTTTTTGTAAATTTGTTTGCAAAGTAAAATAAAAGAGAGATACCCTGTATCCTCTTCTTTTTTTGAACACCTACTGAATCAGATAGGAACTAATTGTGGGAAGATTGCAGCTATTATAACCTATAATTCAAAAACTATAGTTAGTTAAGAAAATAGCAACTCTGATTTATGAATATTTTGATGTTTAAGGAAGATGACATTTCTAGGTTATGTATTGGATATAGATCATTGTAACCTTGCAATAGGTGCATATAATAATAATGGTGATGAAAAAGAAATATGAATATATAAAACCTTGCAATTCTGTCATATATTTCTTAAAATTCTCCTCAGTAGATACATGATATTTCTCTGGGCCTGCTCATAAGGAGCAGTGTAACTGTCACCTCTTAGCCCAAAATTACAGTAACAAATAAAGACACATTTGGAAAAAATTGCATTTATGTGGCTATTCTTTAGGGCTTGACAATGGAAGAATGATGGTATTGTGCTTGTAGAGTTATAATAATGGGCTGTTTGTTTAGTATTTTGTTATGCACAACTTTGATTTATAGTCTACTTTTCCTGCTCATATGTGGGTGATACATATGAAAAATTCCATCTGGAATCAGTGCCAGAGAAAAAACTAATTAGCAGGCTGAGCCTGTGAAAGGAGGGGAGCTCATTTTAATCTTCTGTGACTCAGATCTGTGTCTGTGTTTGCAGGACATATTCCTTTCCAATGCACTATTTTCAATGGAATGTGCTACATTAAAAACTGCTTCACTAATCCGGAAATGTTATATTTTGAAAAAAGTATCTCTATATTTTGTTTCAGATGAGAATTATTCTTCAAGTGGTTATTCTGCCACAGTCTACAAGCCCCCAAGCTATCCCTGTGGAAAACTTTGTGAAATCTTCAATGACATTTTAACTGATCGTCCTTTAAGAGGGGAAAATTATAACTTCCTACAAGGCTTTAATTTTCATAAAGATTATCTGCATCAGAAAGAATTCATGACATGGAGTGGTAAATGAGAATGATAATTTCTTAAAACTCTCTAAATCAGGGGTAGTCAACCTTTTTATACCTACTGCCCACTTTTGTATCTTTGTTAGTCGTAAAATTTTCTCTAACCGCCCACCGGTTCCACAGTAATGGTTATTTATAATGTAGGGGACAAAACCCCTACTGCCCACCATGAAAACTGGAATGCCCACTAGTGGGTGGTAGGGACCAGGTTGACTACCACTGCTCTAAATGCTCAGAATTGAATCAGTTCAGTAATACCTCAGTCAGTTGCATAACTGTGGAGGTACAAAGGAGATAGTTATATAGTCCTATGACATCTATTCCTTAAAAGGAGATCTTTGATCTAGAGCTTACAAATTACAGAAAGGTGACTAGCAAGAACCTAGACTAGATGAGAGTATATTTTCATGTATTATAAAAGAGGTATAATAAGAAGTGTACTTTGGGGATAGGTGACTTGCAATTATACTTCCTGACTTCGCTGGGGACAGAAATAGCACCTTGGGGAAGACATATGATCTGTAGGATTCTTGGACACCTTTCCCTTATATAGAAACTTTCTCTAGAGGAAAAGAAGTATCACAAATAGTTTTTGCTCCTGGGAATATTTTTTGAAACACACTAAGCTTATTTCATTTTTTTAAGGAAATGATCATGTAGAAAAGTGGTGGCTAACCTTTTTCTGCTCCTGTGCTGATAATTGCGCTCGCGCTCGCTTCCACATGCTGATGTGCCAGCACCCAGAAGGCAATGAGTGCTGGACCCCCATGCCCTCTGCGCATGTGCATGTGACCCCCCTCATGCACTGCGCACCTGCGCATATGACTCCCCCCTCATGCGCCATGCATCTTTGTGCATGCCCATGCGGCTCCCTCCTTGCATGCTGCATGTCTGCACATACGCACACATTTTCCCCTCACACACAGCATGTCTGCGCATGTGTGCATGATCCCCTCACACACAGCATCCCTGCGTATGCATACATGTCTCCTGCACATACACCTCCACCCCCTGTGCATGAGTGCCAGATACCCAACAATCAGTGCAGTGGGGCTCTTCCGGGTGACCTCTCTTGTGCTGGGAGAAATGGCTCTGTGTGCCACTTCCGGCACACATGGTATAGGTTCGCCAACACAGAAGTAGAAGGTTGAATTTGGCCTTCATTTAGTTCTGGAATGGTTTTCCATTTTTCCATTCCCAATCACCAATGACCCACAAAACAATTCTGTTCATTACACATTTGGAACTAATTGGAGTTATTCATTTTCAGAACAGTCTATTTTCAGAGATTTCTTCATTAAGCTTCTCCTTTATCCACACCATATATATCAGTAATTCTGAACATTTCAATCACATATCTTATCATTGTTTCCCTTCTAAGATAATGTGAGGCAGCACAGTTTTTGTTGGTGAAAGACTGTCTGTAGTTATCTTTCTCTCATGTTGGTTGGGAAAATAATGCTTACCAATTGTCTTTCAGATACTGAATTTGACACTTCTTCTAACAAGTTGACACCAAACACAAAGTCCCTCTGTTTAATAGATGTTGGATTTTTTATGAACAACAGTGGTATATCACTTCTCAAGCCAGAAAGGAATGTGGATATAATTATTTTTCTGGATTATGAGATGAGTGGAATCTTAAAAGTGAGAGAAATATTGTCATGATTATTTTCCTTTTGAATGCTTGTGTGCTTACATGATAGAAAGGTACTTTAGAGTTTTTAGATCCATAATTATAGGTCAGTTATACCAAAGAAGTCAAGAGAGAGAGAGAGAGAGAGAGAGAGAGAAAGAGAGAGAGAAATTCCATAGTATTATATCTCATAGGAGCTCTATTCTGAATGTGGAAAGTATGTAGTTACTCTGGAGGAGAAGGAAAGATAATAGTGTGAAAAAGCCTTCTCTAGTGCTGCTTTCCTGAAGCAATATAAAATCTATTTTTTGTGAAAGAAAGAAAGAAAAAATAGGTTGGAGAACCAATTGGGAGTTATTCAGATTCACTGATTGTGTTCAAACTTCAGCTGAATTGGAAATTTCATTTAGAATTTCCTTTCCTCCTTTTCCTTACTTCAAGTATTTCTTGAAGTATTTCTAATTGACTTGAAAAACGATTGTACATGTACAACTCGTACAAAGGTAGTTGAGAAAACAGAATTGCATATTCAAGGTACTGTATGTTTTAGCACTGAACCTTCTACACTGCTTACCAGAGACAATTACAGATTATTCAGTAGAGGAGTTTCTGATTTACATATGGGAAGCAAAATGAATATATTTGGGAAGATTTTTCTTTTTTGGTCTCTTCTTCAGCAACTGGAGATGACAGCTGAATACTGTGAAATCCAAGGCATTCCCTTTCCAAAGGTTCATGTGAGTGAGAAAGACCGAAAGAATATGAAGGAGTGCTATGTTTTCTCAGATGAAGATAACCCCAAAGCACCAATAGTGCTTTGTTTTCCTCTGATCTGTAGCACCTTCAAAGAATACTCAGCACCAGGTAAATTCAGCTGATTTAAGCATTTGCAGTTTCTTCAGTAATTTCTTTAATTCACATGTTGACTGAAATCCCTTCTGCAGTGGTATTTCCCAAGGTATAAAGAAAACTACATTTTGCAAATTGTGCAAATACACACATTTTCAAATTGTGATGGTTAATTATATGCATACACAGACATTGTTCTTTTTTCTGAATATTAATCAAGTAAACATAGCAAATTTAAGATATGTGGAATTCAGTTCCCAGAATTCCCGAGCCAACATGTTCATACATCTTATAAGTCCGCACATCTTAAAATACATTGAGCTAAAGGAAGACACTATTTAATTATTCTATTTAGCTTAGGTAGTTCTAGGTTTTAAATCTATAACTGAAATATAGTCAGCAACCAGACTGTTATTGGCCCTGTAGAGATAATAAATGGGGATATTGACTAAATAAGCACCATAACACAAAATTTGCAAATTATTAGGATGCAAATTTGTAAGGGTAAAATTTGTGTCATTTATTTTGATTTTAATGCGGTTTTGATTCATTTGTGGATGCCTATGTCTAGACATCCTAATACTTCTTTTCTAATATTTATTAAGCAGTGAGGTCATCAAGAACAAATAATGGAGCTGAGCTATGGTGGGGGAAAAAATCTTTAGTTTTATTGTTTTTCTGCTGTAGTCTCTGTCCCTGCCTTAGGACAATAGGCTGCACGTAGAGAATAGCGGTAGTATAATAAATCCCTGTGAGTGAATTCATCAGGGATGAAGTCATGGGTGGAATCTATTATATGATTGTTGCAGAACACTGAAGTGCTTCGGAATTTAGTGCAACTGGAAGGTTCCCTAAGCATAAATGGGCACCATTTAAGGTGTTAGAAGATTGCCTTTGATATTATGGAGGTCATCCAGGGATGCCTAGAAAGGGTAGGGCTGAAATTTTGGAGACTGCTTTTTATTGGGTTATGGATGGGGGACTGGAGAACTTTCAAAAAGAAACCAATTCTATTCTCATCAAAATTTGACTCTTTTTCACTGAACTGAACTCTTTTTCACTGAGTCCAATGGGAATATTTTATTTATTTATTTATTTGGTTTGTCAATTGCTTACAAGATAATAGGTATAAGTAAAAACATAGTTATGAATACATGGATACATATAAGAAAAATAAAAGAAACAATAGGACAGGGATGGTAGGCACGTTGGTGCGCTTATGCACGCCCCCTACAGACCTCTTAGGAAAGGGGTGAGGTCAATAGTAGACAGTCTAAGGTTAAAGTTTTGGGGGTTTGGGGAAGAAACCACAGAGTCAGGTAGAGTATTCCAGTCATTGACCACTCTGTTGCTGAAGTTGTATTTCCTGCAATCAAGTTTGGTGCGATTAACCTTGAGTTTGTATCTATTGTGTGCTCTTGTATTGTTATGGTTGAAGCTGAAGTATTCATTGACAGGTAGGACATTGCAATGTATGATTTTATATACTATACTTAGATTGGACCAAAGGCGGTGTAGTTCTAGCTTTTCTAGGACTAGAATTTCACGTTTGGTGGCATAAGGTATTCTGCAATTAGTAGAAGAGTGGAGAATTCTTCTTGTGAAATATTGCTGGACTTTTTCAACTGTGTTAATATCAGATGTGTAATGTGAGTTCCAGACTGATGAGCTGTATTCGAGTATTGGTTTAGCAAATGTTTTGTATGCTCTAGTTAGTGGTGTAATATTACCAGAGAAAAAGCTACATAAGATTAGGTTAACAACTCTTAATGCCTTTTTGGCTATGTAGTCACAGTGGGCTCTAGCACTTAGACAATTAGAGATGAGTACTCCAAGGTCCTTGACAGAGTTTGGATCATCAACAAGGTTTTGACTATTCAGCTTGTATTTTATTTTCTGATTTTTTTTTGCCAATATGTAAGACAGAGCATTTATTTGTTGAGATTTGAAGTTGCCATTTGTTTGACCATTCTGATATATAGTCAAGGTCTTTTTGAAGGGTAGCAGTATTGTCTGTGGTGTTGAATAGCTTTACATCGTCAGTGAAAAGGACACAGTTGTTCTTAATATGATCACAGAGGTCATTTATGTAGAGTATGAAGAGAGTTGGTCCTAGAACACTGCCTTGGTGGACACCACTGTTGACAGGTACAGAATTTGATAGAACGCTCCCAATTTTGACCATTTGTTGTCTGTTTGACAGGAATGCTTCTATCCAGTTATGCAGATGTCCAGAGATACTGTAAGATTTTAGTTTTAGGAGTAGTTTGTCATGTACCACTGAATCAAAGGCTTTACAGAAGTCTATGTAGATTGCGTCTATTGCTTTACCCTAATCGAGTTGTGTAGTCCATATATTTTTTCAGTGAAAGAGTTGCAGATTGCAGGATAGTTTTTTTCTGAAACCAAAATGTTTATTAGAGAGTAGGTTGCTTTTCTCCAAGTGGAGGATAATGGATTGGTTAATAATTGATTCCATGACTTTACAGGTGACACAGCATAAAGAGATTGGTCTGTAATTTTCAACTAGGCTGGGGTCTCCCTTTTTGAAGATGGGGATGACCGTGGCTTGTGATCATAGTTTTGGCAAGGAGCTGGTCCTGAAAATTTTTCAAAGATTATGCTTAGAGGTTCGGCTATGACAGTGGATAGCATTTTTAAGAAGTAGGCAGATATTCCATCCGGTCCAATAGATAGAGATGGTTTTAGATTGCATAGTGCTTTTTCAACATTGTCTTCTGTAAAATCGATATGTATTAGATCATTGTATTTATCTGTGATAGGAAATACTGGGCACGATCCATTGCTGTTTACAAATACTGAGCCAAAGAATGTGTTAAAGAGGTTGGCTTTAATAGTGTTATCATTGCAGTCTTTACCATTAGGTCCTTTCAGGGGTGAGATGGACCTTGAGATATGTGGAAAGAATGTTGGACAAAGATTCCTCATTGCTCTCCAGTCTGTTAACTGGAGACAAGCAGATAGGGACTCTTCAGAGTAAGGCATTCCTACTATTGAGTTATATACTACAGCTGTGAAAGAGTATGAGACTATGTCATCTACACATCTAGGGCTTCCAATGACACCAAGCTTTATATTGCCTTAAAAGTCTGCCTTAAAAAACAAGGAAGTTACTTGGCTTATGGAGATGCTCTAAGTACAGGAAGTCCTTGACTTACAAGGACCATTCAAATTTACAGCAGCACTGAAAAATGTGACTTATGACTGTTTTTCATAGTTAAGACCTTTACAGCATCCCCATGATCATGTGATCAAAATTCAGATGCTTTGGCAACTGGCTCACAGTTGCAAAGGCTTTTAACCTATGCTGTGTCTCAAGGTCAGAAGGTCCTTTTGTGACCTTCTGACAAGCAAAGTCAGGGGCGGAACCAGATTCACTAAAGAACTGGGTTACTCACTTAACAAATCCAATGGTTCACTTAACAACTGTGGCAAGAAAAAGTCATAAAATGGGGTAAACTCACTTAACAAATGGTTCACTTAGCAACAGAAATTTTGGGCTCAATTGTGGCCGTAAGTCAAGGACTCAAGCCCTTGTATGATTTCTCAGTTTCAGGTCATGCAAGAAACAATTGGCACAGCTATAATAATACCCAGTTTACCTAATTGTAAGTTATACTCTAGAATAGCTTTTCAATTTGGTTTTTTTTAAAAAAGGATCTCCTATTTTATTGCTACCAAGACCTAGATTTAGAAAGCATTTCTTAACCCTGCAAACTATTTGTGGCTTTTAAAAACTAAAAACCTTTAAATATTCGAAAGGTTACTCATGGTAATTATCAGTGGAAGATATTTCTTTCACAAGCACTAATAGCTAAAAAAAAAAAAGAATTTCTTCTGTGCTTCAAAGTCTCTTAATTTCACCAGCAAGATGGTGTACATCAGTCAGGGCAAGGGTTGGGTTCAATATTTTATATTTTTATTTAATTGATTTATTTGATTTGTCAATCTCTTACAAGATAATAGATGTAAGTATAAACGTGAGTAGGAATACAGGAAATAGGTATGAATAAATGGGAATAATAGGACAGGAACAGAGGCACAATAGTGCACTTATGCACGCCCCTTACAGACCTCTTAGGAATGGGGTGAGGTCAATAGTGGTTAGTTTGAGATTAAAGGAGTGGGGGTTAGAGGATGTAACAACAGAGTCAGGTAGTGCATTCCAGGCATTGACTACTCGGTTGCTGAAGTCGTACTTTCTGCAATCAAGTTTGAAGCGGTTTACATTGAGTTTGTATCTGTTGTGTGCTCTTGTATTGTTGTGGTTGAAGCTGAAGTAGTCATTGACTGGTAGGACATTGTAGCAGATAATTTTGTATATTCTGAGTTATGGCACATTTTAAAAAACGTTTACAGAAAAAACTGCTCCCTTTTCTTCTTGATTGGAAAAAGAGGGTTCCCAGAGAAACCTGCTTGATTGTTGGATTTTTACGTGGAGCTTTATTGACATATTGCAGTAATATTCCAGAACGGAAGTATTTTCTGCATAGTACATAATTTTAACTTCCACTGTTCAGCAAAATGGAGAATGTCTATCAATATGTCATTGCTATATCAGATCCAAAAAACGAGGGCACAAAATAGATAAGTTGATATAAAACCAATTTATTTCACTTCCAAGTACTAAATGTTTTAAATCTTTACCTACAATGCATTGTTTTGTTTCAAATAAGGTGCACTCACTCACTCACTTTTTTAATCTTTCAGGGGTCAAACGCACTCCTTCAGAAATGCAGGATGGTAACGTCAATCTAAAAAAAGACATCTCACCGTACCAAACCCTTGAAATAACCTACACTGAAGAAAACCTTGACAAACTAATAAATTTATGCAGTTACAATATTCTTAATAGCAAAGACTTCATCTTCCAAGCCATTCAAAGTGCTATGCAGAAAAAGCGACAGGATGGGTCCAGGAATGATAAACAATGATCATTTGTCTCCTTAAAGAGAAGAAATCCAAATATGTAACTTGAAGCAATGTTAATTGGTTGTCATTATGCTGCAGTTTGTTGGATGCTTGGATAATTCTCACTCCTTCTTGATTTAGCAAGTGGATTTAAAATGAAATATACTGCTGTAGGCTTTCACAGCCGGTATTTGTTGGGCAGTGCTGGGCTTCAGGGTTTTGTGATCGTGGTCTATAGAACAGATGGGCTAATGTTAAACAGCAGCTCTGCCTTCAGAGGCAAAGTGGTCAGCTAAGCAGAAGCACAGGCCATTGATCAGGGACTGACAGGGATCCTATCTTTATTGTTAGGCATCCTGACTAATTGGCCTTTAGTAGGGATGTGGTGGTTCAGTGGCTAAGACGCTGAGCTTGTCGATCAGAAAGTTTGGCAGTTCGAATCCCTAGCACCGCATAACAGAGTGAGCTCCCTGTTACTTGGCCCAGCTTCTGCCAACCTAGCAGTTCAAAAGCATGTAAAAATGGAAGTACAAAAATAGGGACCACTTTGGTGGGAAGGTAACAGCATTCCATGCGCCTCTGGCATTTTGTCATGCCGGCCACATGACCATGGAGACATCTTTGGACAGCACTGGTTTTTCAGCTTTGTGATGAGCACTGCCCCTAGAGCCAGAAACGACTAGCATGTATGTTTGAGGGGAACCTTTACCTTTTAGGTTTCCAATTGGTGCAGGTTGGTGAGAACTAAGAGAGGGTGAGAGATCATGTTGCTTCTGAAGATGTCAGACACAATTGTTGGCAAAACATCAGGAAATCAGTTCTCTAGAATATGGTCACTTAATCTTGAAATAGCTTTTAAATTCTTTATTTATTTGAAATAACCATCTTGCATTGGGTAAACTCTAGTTTGTATCCCTGTATAATCAAGCTATAATTTGATCAGTTTTGTTCTCTTAGATATAGTACTTATAATTCTATTATTTCTTTTTATTTTCTTATAAAGGTGAGTTTAATAAAAGACATACATTCAAATATTACCTATTAGTGTTATCCAACATTTACTGTTAGAAGTGATTTTTAGGAGATGGTGTTGGCTGAAATTGATGACATACTGTTTTCTAATTGAACCACAATTATGTTTCTTTATAACATTGTAAGAGAACTTATTCTCTATCACTATATTGGACATGATAGGATGTGGTTGGATTTTAACACTTGCAGAAAAGCATGAACTGACTTTACTTTATTTAGTACCAGCTGCAAGTAGTCGCAGTAAAGCAATAATAAATATTTACTTTGTAAAAGGAGAGTTATTCTTTATTATGAGTGACACATTTCACAATGTAAAATGATAGCAGTTCAACATGAAAATTATTTTATTATTTAAATGGAAATCTACCTGGAAATAAGTTCAGTGAATTCCATATGATTTTCTTTTGAATTAAAACCCAGAAGTTTAAAAAATGAGAGGCAATTTAAAAATTAACTGTTGATATTATTTTGTGTGAAATTTGAAAACTACATGGTGTAACTCAACAGATATTGAATCAAATTCTGATTATATGCTTTCAAACATAGCTTTGTTTATTAATTTATTGAAACTGTCTGTGCTTTGAGACATTTATTTAATATATTTCTGTACCGTTTTCTACATAATTGCTTCTTGAAGAAGTTTATTCTTTTAATTACCTAATTACAATGCTGAAACTTCAACTGTTATCTTACAAGTGGAATAATGATAAATGAAGGACAATCTTTTTATCATGAAGATCTGATTAAAATTCAACTATGGAAGCTTAACTGTTGGTAGCTATTGCCGAACAGCTATTGGTTTGCTATTTTCTGTGATTTAATTTATTGAACCCTCTCCCATGACACATGTTATTAACCTTTTTTGAAAAAGATTTACTCATTTATCCATTGTAGAATGAAAAACATAAAAAAAATTGAGATTAATCTGAGAACATGGTACTATTCTTCAAAAATTCTCCTTACCAGAGACTTCTGTACCCTATTACTGTGGAAAAAAACCCTAAAAATGTATGTAATAGTATACAGTGTTACATACACAATTTCATAATAAAACAAATACATTAAACTTGTGTGTTACTGGATTTATTTAGAAATGAAGGAACATGTTTATTAATTTAAGGAATATTAAGGAAACTAATTTAAGGAATTTAAGGAACCTGAATAAAATCAGGTTTCTATACTATAATTTTTCTTTAGAAAGCAGTGTTAAAACTTTGAAAATATATATTAATTTATTTCTTGTGCTGGTGTGTCACTGACTTCAACTTTTTAAGTATTGCTTTTTTTAAATATAGACAAAATAAGAGGCAGAATTGGTTTTATTCAGGGGTGGGATTCAACTGGTGTTACTACCGGTTCGGTGATTATGTTTTGTGGTGATTACATCTGATGCACGTGCACCAGGCGCGCGCTATGTGCGTGTGTAATACAACTAAAGCTGTGCCGCCTGGACAGCTGATAAGCGCTGCACGTGGGTGCGCAGTGTTTGAAAAACCACTTCTTTACTGCTTTTTCAACCTCAGCTGTGCGGCGCAAAGCAGCTGAGGTTGAAAAAAGTAGGAAATAAAGGTCAAGTAACAGCCCAGGCAGGCGGTTGGGCCAAACAGCAGCACACACAGAACTGGTTCTGTGTCTGCTGCTCTTCAGAGCTACTGGTTCTATAGAGCCTGGCACAACCGGTAGCCTCCCATCACTGGTTTTATTACTTGCTATAGATTTAATTAACTTTACCTAATCCTTTTTAAAAGCAGTAACCAGGAGCTCCTCAATACTAGAAGCTGTCCTGGCAAGGTTATGACACTTCTCTAGCCCTCATATCTGCATACAAGAAGTATTTGCTGAGAGATATCTGCAGTGCATTTTTTTTTCATACATCTAAGGTTTTTCATTGAATGGAAATCCTACTTCTCACTTTTCCCTCTTCAAACTGCTATGGATGTTAAGGATATGGCTAATATTTGACCCCAGAAATTCTTGTGTTTATGGAAACCATTTCATGTCTTTAATGGGTAAAATAGGAAATCAGGATAGCTTTCTCTCCTCATGTTCATGCTTAATAATAATGATGAGGACAGCATTGATATACTCATGGCTGTCTAAATATTAACAACAAATTTTCATGGCTTTCAAATGCCTGAAGTTATAAATTCCTGGTGTTACACAATTTAAGTGATAATTGCTTATAATTTTTGGCAAAAATATTGGAGGGATATAAATCCACATTTTTGTAGGACACCTATTTAATAGATGGTGTGCTGATTTCTCTTTCAGCCATACTTCTTAAATTGTAAAGGCAATAGGGTAAATGAATGGAGGAATCTAGCAACTCTGAGAAATTCAGAGTTGTATTGCTTCTATTTCTTCCTGAAAAGATATTTAAAGATCCCCTTCTGTTTCTTGGGACCTGTCTCTGTTGTAGATCTCTCTGTAGCACCAAGGTTGTCTATGTACTTTGTTGTGTTCACCATAGGCTCAATTCTGCTGCCTGGAAAAAAAATGATTAGCATTGGATCAGAAAAATACTATATAAACAGAAGACAATAGAAACTGTATAAAAAAGAAAACAGATATTTTACAATGCCTGTATGGCATATCACATGATCACGGAATTGGTTATTACACTGGCAGCATCTCACCACCCTCTTATAACAGTTGGGTGAACCTTTTTGTTGTAGTGTGCCGAAAGTGTGCATGTGCCAGCACCCACATGTAATGTGCCCCCGCACATGTGCATGCAACACCCCCCACCCCCTTACCTGCACTGTGCATGTGCGAAACTCCCAGCTGATTTTTGGCCCATTTGACACTGTTTTCGCCTTCCCGGAGGCTTAAGGGAAGCCTCTGGAGCCTCAGGAGGCTGAAAACAGGCCCATTTCAGCACTTCTGGTATTTCCAGAAGGCCCATTTTTCAGCCTCCCAAAACTTCAGAGGCTTCCCTCAAGCTTCTGAGAGGGCGAAAACGGCCTGAAACAGGCTGAAAATCATCTGAGAGGCGTGCACATGTGCAGTGCAGGTAAGTTTGGCTGGGGCTCGCGTGCCCGCACAATTGGCTCTGTGTGCCACTTGTGGCACACATGCCATAAGTTCACCATCACGGGCCTATAAGGTGACCCTGGGCAACATAAAAACCCTAGTTAGATTTGTTTCTGATTTTGTACTGTTCTCTTAAAGTTACAAATCAAGAATGAAGTATTTGAATTAAATAGTGCTGTTGCCACGAAAATAAGGTGGTTATGGCCTAAAGAACCATTCTATTCTTCTATCATCATTTTGCTGTTATTTGAAAATGCAAAATTAAGATGATCATCAAACATTTAGCCAGCCATACAGCTGGTTTGACTTGCATTCACGTGATTGAACATTAGCTATAATGGCCTGATCTATGTCGTGGACTATTCACATTACCCTTTTAATTGATAAAATTTGACTTTTTCTTTTTTTACTATCGCATGTACTGCACAGCTAAATCCCACACATAACTATTCATTTTCATTAAATATTTTATAATAGGGGAAATTATGAGAATTGAAAATAAGAAGTAAAATCATTTAACCTTTTAAACAATCCATAAATAACCTGTTCTGATCTCGAACTCAAAACTATGCATGCATCACAAAGAAAATTATGAGCCCCTAATTCTAAACCTCTATGTTATAATAATTACTGACCAAAAAACCCTGAATTGTGATAAAATGATTGTAGTAATTTTTTAAAAAAACCTCTAAACATAGCATAATATTGTTTCTGTTTTATGAAAGTGTGAACACATTCTGAATTATTTTATTAAATATATCTTAAGAAAAGAGAAAAAAACAGTGCTGTGCTATTACCAGGATCTTCAGAATTTGGAGCGAGGGTGTCATAATTTTGCGTCAATGTTTCTGATATAACAGAACTTCCAGCAAGCCTTTTTTCTCGATTAGCTTTGAAGGAAGGAGTTTTCCTGTTACCAAGCAGGATTAACAGAGTTAGTTCATTAAATAAAATGGATTTATACGGCCATCCATCGCACAAATGCGAGTCTAGGCAGCTGTTAGTTTTTCTTTACTGAACCTGTAGATAAGGATTTAAATTTAAAATACATGAATACAGTTTTATTTATTTTATTTTAGCTATAAGTATTTTCATGGTAGTTAACATCAAGAAATAAAAATGTGCTCAACCACTTAGCAAAGTCATGAGGAAATAAAAATATAGCAGCTTTTCATCTTTTCATCTTTTTCATCATCTTTTCTTGTTTTTTCCTTTCTTAAACTGAAATGTCTACAACTGTCTATTCAACAAAGCAGAACTAGATAGAACTGACTTCCGGTTGTAAGGTTTCGGCGGCGGCAGGAATCCGCTTCTCTGCGGGTCCCTGCTGCGCTCGCCGTCAAGGTACCCCCGATCCAACTGGATTTGGGGGTTGTCGCTGCCCTGAAGGGGCAGCAGAAGACAGAGGAGATCCGGGCAGGGGTCTGGGGACATCGCACCCCCCTTCCCCGGCTGGCTAGACTCCTTTTTCCTGAGACGGTGGGGCGGCTATCTCCATGGCAGCCACAAAGGAATCTTCAACTGGATAAGTTTGTGCAGGAGGAAGTCTTAGAAGGAGACGTTTTCTTGGCTAAACCATGACATTATGTTACTTTTAAAACACCCTGGAAACCTGACTTTGGATTGATACATTTGTTTCCAAAAGAATTTGTTACATCGGCGAAAGTGCTGAAGGAAAGCTCACTCCCCTTACGGAGAAAGCAAAGGAGCACAGAAAAACTTGCTCTTTAAAGGTAAAAATAAGCTCTTTGTTATAAGTGGGAAGGGGAGGACTAAAAATTTTTTTTTAAAACTTTGCTGGAGGAGACGCCTTGAAGATTACAAGACCATTAATTAATGGTAATACGGCTTTTAAAATACATCTGGGATTTTGCCTCTGGAGAAAAAACTGTAAAGAGAAGAAGAGGAAAAAAGTTTTGTTTGTTTGGATTGTTTGATAACTCTGACATTTGGAAACTACTTCAAGATTGAAAGCATCTGGGTTGTTTTAAAAAAAAATAACCTATAATGGTACCATCGGTTGATGAACTGAAAATGGAATATGAAAAATTAAAAGAAAGACAACAAAGTGGCAAGGATTCTTTGGGAGCTGCCTTCCATTTTTTTAGAAATGGCGGTTTCTATGTACCAGCAAACACTGGAGGAAGGAGAAGGAGAAGAAGAAGAAGAAAAGGAAGAAGCCATTTTTAACGGACTAAAAAGTCTGACTAAGAAAGAAAATGGGAAGGGAGAAAGGGAAAAGGAGAATTTAAGATTTAATAGAACAACCAAGAAAAAGAAAAATAGGGTGAAAAGAAGGTACAATGTTAGAAAGCAATTGAAAAGAGAATTACAACAGAGAGGGAAACTTAAAAACGGGGAGAGGAGAGGGGG